AATCCCTTTGAGAAAGGTGAGGCCTCACCAATAAATAAACTTAATCTGAGCAAAGGTTGTTTTGCAGTCACGATTGCATATTATTATACGAGGTGCATAATTAAATTTGCGTGTAGAAAACAACAGAAATTAAACTGGAAGCTGGGACGGCACTTTTGCCTTAAGTCAAACTCTTTTAGCAATCAGTGTTTGCTAGTAGCAGTAATGGTGATTTAAAATAGTGTTCACTCTCTCCGTCTCTCCAGTGGCCCAGGAGTTTGGTTTGTCCCAGGCTGATCCTGCTCTGTCGAGCTCCCAGCAGGCTAAGCAGGTGTCCAGCACCGTCCACATCCTGTCCTTGCTGCTGCGCCTCCGACAATGTTGCTGTCACCTCTCACTTCTTAAGAAGGTACACACTTTCACGTGCTGTCATAAGGCTTTCCAGCAATGTCTATAATTTAAAAAGACACACATAATGATACAAACTGAATACTGCACACACCTATTTCACACCTGTCTCCCGTGCTTAGACTCTGGACTCATCGGAGCTGCAGGGTGATGGGATCGTCTTATCTCTGGAGGAGCAGCTCAATGCTCTGTCGCTCTCCTCCAGCTCCTCGCCATCTGGCCCCGATCCCAAAGACTCTGTGGCCCTCAATGGCACACGCTTCCCCTCGCGGCTGTTTGAGGGCACCAGCAAAAGCACCAAGGTGGGCAATAGATCAGCACACTAACATGACAGTTACTGGCAGAATGTGAAAATGTGTGCTGCTGTCTGATATAGAAGGTGAAATAAGATCAGGGTATGATTGTTTTTGTTGATCAAAAGTCACAATAAAGTCACCAATGAAGTCACTGGGTGTGGATTGTTTGCCCTCAGTTGGAGCCTTTGGATCTTTCCCACACAGATTCAGCTCTAAATCGTGATTTGACATGATTGTTTTCATGCTAAATGTTTTAAAATTCATAGCTGACCATTTGTCTTTGTTAGAGGCAGGGAAAATGCACAATGTATGTGATAAGAGCGCATGGTGGTCCAGTTCAAAGTCTGTTAGTTAGTATTAAAAGATCAATTTTCCTTCTAGATCTCTGCTATCATCTCTGAACTGAAGGCGATCAGAGAGAAGAGTAATGATCACAAAAGGTAAAACATTACACATCACAATAATTCAGAGTTTATGTCTTTTTTTTCACAATTAATAGAACAATTTTTATGTTACCTTCTCATGTGTGGTCTTCATGGCGTGTCCCGCCCTTATTGTCCAGTGTGATCGTGTCCCAGTGGACCAGCATGCTCCAAATTGTAGCAGTTCATCTGCAGCTGATGGGGTTAACGTACAGCGTCATCGACGGGACCGTCAACCCTAAACGCCGCATGGACCTGGTGGAAGAATTCAACACTAACCCAAAGGGACCACAGGTAAATGTCTCTATTTTTGTCAAATGGAGCATGTCTGAATGAAGCCGACTGGGGGGGTTGATGTTTTTTTTTGCATTTATCACATTCCTGGTGGACCCCACTCTCTCCCTTCCCTGTTCCAGTCCACTTCTCAGCTAATCACCTTTCGAACGACTTACATCATCATACACGTCGAGCAATGTGAAGTTTAGATTTTGGAGAACTGCACAGGAGCATGTTTAGACCTCCTCCCTGTAGATAATTACCTTCACAAAGAGACACAGCCGCAGGAGCATAAATTAAGCATAATGAGGCGGCACAATGGTTTCCATACTTCTAACCAACAGGTGGCAGTAATGCACCAAGTAAAGGAGTTGACATGAACGAAAACGATGTAGAATTTAAGATGTTCTTAATCTTAATGAGGATTAATCCATTCTGCACATTTAACAGAGTTTCACTAATAAACGTATTCAACTTTTATAAAAAATAAAAACAACTTTTATACAACGAGCTGCAAGGAAAATCCACATGGCATTTTTTACATCAAGAGCAGAGGACCTATATTTAAAATGATAAAATTATCACACCAGTAAGATATCAATGGGAGCTTTAAATATTGGAATGAAATTGGTACCACTTTCTACCGCTCAATCTAAATAAGATTTTGAAATACAAAAGACTCAAATTTACAACAATAAGACAACAACAACAATAAGAAA